TTCCATTTATTGTATTTTATTTATTTAATCGCCACGACACCCTAGAATAAGGTTCAGACAACCAGGGGCCACCTCACGCAGTCAGCCCATCGGAAGAGTTTTACCAGTGGAGAAACCACTGGGTTTTTACTTCCGGCTGGTATCGTCTTAGGGTCCTCACGAACCCACTAGGGGGGGAGTGATCTGTAGCGTCATACACTTCCCCAAAATCAATAGCCTAGGGTTTGACGACTTTCGACATCGATGCTGACCTTGATAGTTTAACTGGACTCGCTAAGCTGAAGGCACCCGGTCAAGCATCCTGGCCATTTGGCACGCTGTCGTGTTACGTTGCATTGCTCGTATTCGACTCTCTAGCCAGTTAGTTGGAACGCATCGGTATTTTGGCATAACCATCCAAATATACTATTCCATCCGACTACGCTATCGTGTTCTTCCTTGGTCTCGTATTCGTGGGTATATAACAAGTTCGAATAATTAGTGATTGGTCTTTGTGTCTGTCAAGTTCGCACCAGGACAAATCCTGAAATTCCACCCACGATAGTTACTCACTGATTGCTGGACCGAACACTGCGATAGCGTGATCACCGCTTCCAGGAGGGGTTTAAGCGTGAACGCACTCCACCAACAGATGATCACAAGTCAGCAAATAACCCAATCAGATGGTTTGCCATCTGACCCCTCAGCGGAAATCGTCACTAATCTTTTCTTACTGGACAGCCATTTAGATGACACTTAGCGCGTTACGATCAAACTCCGGGCTCGGAGTTGCGCAGCCCTGCTTCAGGTTGAGAGTTGGGATGTTAAGGTCACCAGATTTTAAGATCTGGTCATGCCTCATGGTCGACCATGTGGACATTGCTTGGAGAAATGTCTGGCTGTTCTACACTGCAACTATGCAGCCCGTAAACTGCGCCAACCAGACGCTTATTGTGACTGATCATGACGTGGCAACAGATTGAATCTGGGAGCTCCATCAATGAGGGGTTGGTGGTTTGTTCACTTTTGAACCAACTGTCCATACAAATCGCAATCCCTCTTCGTCCTTGTCTTTCTTGTCCCTCCTGAACAAAAACATGTCATCTGTGTTAACTTTGTTGTCGCTAATTTCAGGCGAGACTGTAATTTTCGGAACGAAGTTGAAACAGGAGAACCGGAGCCCTTATATTTTACTTCGAAGTCCTCTCTCGTTGCTGTAGAGATACTTGGAAGTTCAGAGTATTTAATGAATCAAATGTAGCCATAATGTAAAGAAATACAACGACCGTTGGCCTAGCTGAGCGTAAACACATGATTAGTCCATTCACGACCTGAATGAAACCCAGCCTGCTCCTCGCGTTTTGAAAAGTCTTCAAAGCATGATATCAGCCAGTATTCTCGGTGACTGGTAACAGACTAATACTCCGATGATTGTCACATACACTATGTAGAACTCTCAAAGATAGGTACAACAATGGCTTCATTCCAGAGTGATGGAACACTCTTAGCCTGACATGCCTTCTCAAGGGTTTTAATAAGCTCCCTGACTAGAATCGTACGTCCATCCTTAAAACAGCCGAAGTTAAGTTGTCTGGGCCGGGTGCTTTGTGGGGTTCCTCACGGACCTCCGCTTTGCTAGATGGGTCAATAATAACTGACCATGGAGCGCGATACACTGAAGCTGACAATGCTGGATTAATGGGCCAGAAAAACTGCTTTCGAAATGCTCCGTCTAGCGGTCCAGGCGTTTTTGAAGACTGTTCATAGACGTATCCCCTACCTCGCAGACCATCTAACTGACATCCGGTAACTAGCTGCCAGTGGATCGTATGAGCTGGAAAAGCTTCCGGAAATTGGTAGATGCAGTTGCTTCCACCTCACTCGCGCACTCTGACCACCAAGCCTCACGGTACAACGTAAATAATGAGAATCAGATGCCTACATGCTTACTGGTTCAAACGCCTCTCAAGCTCACAAGTTAGCGAATAAAAATATAGGGGCATAGAATGATTAGTTGCTACAGAGACACCACTTAGTTGGACAGTGGCAAATACTATACTCCAGAACTATTGCAAATTAGTTAGCAATGACATTTCAAGATTGAAATCAAGGTACTTGAAAATGTACAAGTAGATGTGGAGATCACATCGTGTTTTTCCTGATGGCACTGCTTTGGTTGAAATCGACCACCAGTAGTATTACGCGACCTAAGAAAGGCTTAAGTGTTTTGTTGTTACAGTGAAACATTTGGTTCGCCATAACATGGAAAACGTGCTTGTCACTGAAGCCTGTTCACACGAAGAGACGGGAAAATGTCACGGAAGTTGTCTACGCTGTGTAAACCACATCACTTGTTTCGGAGTACTAAGTGACATTCACTGATAGCCGTGATCCTGAAAGTTCACTTGAACTGATTTCCTTGGTTGACAACTACTTATAAGTTCAGATAATAACCATCAAGCTCCGACCTCTTTCTAATAGGCATTTCGTGTGATTTCAAAAGACCACCAAAAGAAATAAGAGAGGAAACAGTCAAGTGGTAAAAAGTCATGAAAAGAGGAAAACGAGCGAAGAAGTAACCCAATCTGGTAGAACATAAAGGTGAAGATAATGTGTGGACATATCTGAGCCACTGCAATCGGTTCTGAGCCACTACCTAGTCTCCAACGTCCGGCTTTTGTTGTCACGCGAGTACTAATAAGGAAATCTCTCTGTTTGGCCCCAAATGAATGGATCGAATAGGTTGTGAACGTATAAGTAAACCAAGGTGGAACCTGAAAGAGACGCGCATCGGTTCAACTTAATAGCAGCAACAAGAGGATGATAAAAGATAGAAACTAAAGTAGACATACGTGTAACGCAGGAGGAAGAAAAAACAAATGAAGGCTAGTGAAAATGCCTGGACTTTAGGAGGTATCAAAGAGTGAATACATCTGCCTCACCGTGACCGATTCTCAGCCGTTTCACCAAGCGTTTCCAACCACTGATCCCTATTATCTCAAAGACTCCAGGCAAGGCAGTCTTCCCTGTATTCACGGTTTAGACCAACAATCAGAGACTTCATGGACTAGCACCATGTCTTGACCTGGCCCCTTTCACCTCTTCCACTCTTTCCACTACCGCCGTGCATCGGCGTAAACAGTGGTGTGACATTTGTGGCACATGCTAAAATCAACTACGTCGCTGAAGGTTCACAAATTCATCGCTTTACTCACCTACGGCGCGTGAAATCTTTTGCTTATCCTTAATGTTGTTCATTTGCTGATTCCAGCACCCGCTGGTAATGCTACGATGACACCTGTACTCTCTTAACATTTATATCCTGCGACCACGCTTCGAAACCATTTTAAAGGACTCTGTGGACAGCAGCGCAGTACACCCGCTTTTGATGGTTGATCAGAAATGCTGTGAGTCGGTAAACGCTAAACAGGCCTATCTTATGCTAGCTGAAATTTCAGCAGCGACCAACCCATAGAGGCGGATGCAACTCCTCAAATAATTGAAGTCATCGATACATTCAATCACTTTGATCTCTATGCTTTAACGGGAACCAGCTGCAGACCAGTCATGATGCATGACCTTACATTTGATAGGTTCAAAACACACGTCTAATATACCCAGATTTCCACTCAAATTGTTCAGAAGACCCCATATTTTGTCAGCGTCTTCACTTTACAAGACTGTCGTCGTCTCCATGTTAAAAATCAACCAGGTGTACTCTGGGGTGTCATTCTCTCAGAAGTCGGATGTACTTATCGTTATGTCCGTCAGAATATCTTTAACAAAGTTAAAACGTGAAAATGGGCATCTACCTCCAGTTCAAGCAGAGGTAACTTGCTATTGCACGGTCGTATGCAATCAACAATATCTTCATATAACTGGGATATCTCACTGGTGTGAGATTCTCCCTTGTATTATTCACACCAACTAGGTACAGCAACTCCCGAGTCAGTGTCGGCGATCATTTCACACACTACTAAGTACTAGATGGTTTGGAAACCATAGGAAAAATCAATTTTCTTCGAAAAATATGCTTCTGTCGAACTTTCCAGATGCATATTTATAACTTTCATTTGGAAAATAGAACTATGAGTAGGAGTTTTTACGGCTGCACGACTCTCTGTCTAGTGGAAGATTTCACCAGGACACAAATAAAAACTAACTTAACAATACCGCCGGTCATGAATACAAATATGGACAAGAAAAAAAGTGGTCGGTTTGTAGACACTGTGTTGAATCGGTGTGATATCATGGAAAGTCTAATTGGTGAAGCATCTGTCAAGTTTTTCTTGAGTGTTTTCTTCTGGTACAAAAACGTAAGGAAACCTGTGCACCGAAAATTTGCATGATGTACCTTTTGAGCGGTTATCAGCTGGTACATACAAGTTTAGCCAATTATCCACTTTATATTGACCAGATTGAAATTGAAATGCATTCAACAACTATGCGCATGTAAGTACAGTAGGGTATGAACTAAGCCTGTTGTGTCAAGGCTGAGACTACCTGGCTGCACAGAACTCAGTAGGTGGAACTGGATCCCAAACGTTGCATATAGTTTGAAAATCAAGTAGCAAGACAGATGAGCCACAGCTTAACAACTAGATGGACGACCCAGCTGGATATTGAACTGAAAAACGCTGAGGCAACATGAATCCACATCCAAAAGAACAATTGAAATCCAAAACAACATCCACTCGAATACAATTAGAGGTCATAGAAAAACTATAGTCACCATAAATCTTTACCGAAGCAAGCGAAAACAGGAGCTATGAAACAAAAAAATACATATGGTATGCACCAGGACTGGTACTACCAGAAAATATCGGTCCAATAAACACAACTGGAGGGAATGTGAAAAATTTCAAATATATATGGTATGATTTTATTGGCTGAGGTCTACGTTACTTTGTAGCTCAGTGGATTATAACCTCAGAATGAATTTTAACGTAAGAGGAAAAAGACTATAAGTGATCACTTTTCAATATCATCACAGTTAATCCCAACAATGCGTTATAACTAGAGTAAGAAACAACAGATGCTACAAGACCAATGGAGTGGAGATTTGAGATAACGGTCAGTAAGCTCCGAAATTCAGCGTAACTCACAACACAGCGCAATGGTTTTTATTTTTCATTAGTGGCAAACGAATTGACTGGAAACATTTTCAGATGGTCTATAGTACTCTAATAGGCTAAAATGAAGCACGAAATTACATATGTAGAATTGTTTGGAACAAACCTCCCATTCACGCTGCAGAATACGTATAGAGTTTGCATCTAGTATCGGACCAAAAAGAGGATTAACTTGCGCCATTGATGACATCAGCCAGCTATAACAGATATCACTAGGAGGCAGAAACTCACAATAGGTAACAGCAAACTGAAGAAGTTGTTAGCATTAATTGTATAACCCTAAAAGGTGTTGATCGAATCTCACTTATATTCTTACGGTCTGTGAGGACCTTTCGGGACAATCAGGGGTCCTCCGCAGCCAACAAGCAGCCAAAACACCGTCATGACAGTCAAAGGAACTTCATAACCCATTTTCCGATGGATTTATGTTGCGCACTTTTAATGTTTATAGGTTTGAGACGTGATTCAACTAAACAACGCAGTCACTTTTTATATCTCAGAGCTCAAGAGATACTAAAATTGTTCAGAAGTTTCAATACGCGCTTCTTTTAAGATTAACTGGATACAAGTGCTTTTTTCATCTGTCCACGATACACTAACGGTAAGCAACTTCCGATATCCAATATCTGATTAACTAGTTTGTGTAAACCAGCTGGTTTTTTTCGTACTCGCTTCTTGGTATTGTGGAACAGTTCCAGGTCTCTGGCGGATTCCACCGAAGTTGATCCAGAAACTCGTCTACTATAACCCTGGTATACAGAACAGAAGGTTGAGTGTTTGTTAGTTTGCCTTGGACTGCGGTACGATTGGTTTCTTCGGATGTCGAGTTGCCAGACAGTTATTCAGACCGGTCGTTAGAGAGAGTTAGGGGTAGGGAAGAAATAACGTAGGAAGACAACTGTATGTGAGTGAAAGACAAAGAAAAGTGAAGTGATTGGGCAATCTACTTACACCTACGTAAGACGAGAAGGGTGAAAAGATATGAAGGAGGTAGATGAGTCTAATTCATAGCGAGTGAGTGGGACGAAAGGGGCTTGAATGAGTGGAGTGGGAAAAAGCAGGTGTAGAGGTGACATTGGTGGAATGGTGTGACAGCAGTTGAATTCCTCGGTCTAGTTCTCATTCCCACGAGGTATGTGTAGTCGATAGGTCTCAGCATAACTATCTAGCCTTTTCTTGAAACTTTCAACGGACGGAGCGCAGGCTATCTCTGCTGACGAAGGATTCCAGTGCCTGCAGATCCGGAGGCAGAAGAGGCTTGAAAACGCACAATTTTTCGACCTTTGGTGGGCAATTCTCTTTGGGTTTGCTTTAGTGGCCACTCGGTACTATCCGTCTATTCGGCCGACTAGGGTTATCTAGTATTTTGTAGGCTATCATCAAATCACCTCATAACTTTCTGCAACTAAGACAGCATAGACCTGGGTCTTTCGCTCTATCCTCATATGGTTTTTGGTGCATCCCTACAACGCCCCTTGTCGCTGGCCCTTGAACTTTCTCGGAGGAGGTTCTTTCCCTTTTCAGGTGTGATGTAGCTAGAGCGTTATGGACCTCCAAGTGGGGTCGTGTGTAGGTCTTGTAGAATTTCAAAAAGAGCTCTGGGATAAGGATACCTAGTTGTCTGCCCACAAAGTGTAGTACACTGTTTGCTTTTGAGGTATCTTCTGGGTGGTTGGAACTAGTGTCCAGTTTCCCCGCTACCATTAAAACCAGGTCTTCCTCTGCAGTGGTATAAGAAAGATGTGAACTACAGAGAGAGTAAGGTACTTTCTATGGACCGGGAGTGCCGAAAATCATGGACTGTGATTTATCCGGGTTAAATACCAATTCTTTACTTGTTTCCCGCTCTTCTAGTGTTTTGACGTTATTCTGTGATGCATTCAATTCCGTTTCGCATGTCACTGCCCTCCGTAACTTGACGCTGTCAGCGTAGAGGAGAATTAGACCCGATATGCAGCTGATGGTCACTGGCGAATAGTAGGAACAACGATGGACCAGAAACTGCTCCTTGTTATGCACTGGATGATGATGCTCTGCAGGTTGGGTGGACCCTACTGGCTCTCATGCCCAACTCCCGACTGTTTAAGCAGTTCTGCAGCCACGATCACACCTGGCCGCAGATACCCAGCCCAGCTATTTTGTGTACCACGATGGTGTGTGAGACAGTGTCAAAGGCTTTGGCGAGGTCCGGAAAAATCACGTGGGCCGGCATCTTGAGGTCCGGCATGCTGTTCAGGGACCATTGGCCGTCAGGAGATTCACAAATACCCGTCTTAATGACGTCGCTTACTGGTTCTCGGTATTGCTCAACCGATTAGACACACCAATCCACTGCCCATGAAGCTATCGACAGGGGTTTATCTATTTCCTCATTGTCTGCTTTGCTGTGACAGGCAGGGGTAAGATTCTATAACAAGTTCGAATAATTAGTGATTGGTCTTTGCGTCTGTCAAGTTCGCACCAGGACAAATCCTAAATTGGTGAGCCGACGTGATCAAATATCCCGACGTGATCACATATCCCGACCAATAACAAGTATTGAATTGGTGAGCCTGTTCCATTTTATATTTGTTTATTGTTTTCATTTCGATAACATTTATATATCCATTTACTACACTTTCTCATGTCCGACCACACTCCCAAGCTTATTCGTATTAAGCCGACCTCGAACACGATCCAACTCGTGCCATATTGGCCAGACAATGCAGAAACATGGTTTCTGTATGCCGAGGCCGATTTTCGAGAACAGGGTGTCTCAGATCCTCATCTCGATTTCTTGCTGTCATACGTTCACTACCGCGAGAATTAAACAGGTATGTTACAGCAAACATGTTTAATCCTGAAGTAAGTGACCCTTATGCACTTCTAAAGGCCGCACTCTTGAAGAAAAGCGATCTCACAGATCGCCAACGTCTAGACGAATTGCTTCGTAACATCGAGCTAGGCAGCCACTCAGCTACTGAAGTCCTCGCACGCATGCGAGAAGTAATCGGTGCACGAACATTTGACGATGGTTTCTTCCGAGAACTATTTCTCTCGAAACTACCACAACCGGTGCAAACCGTGTTGGTGACACTCCAGTCAGTCCCACTCGACGACCTGGCAGCCTCAGCAGATAAAATACTGGAGATATCCAGCAGACCAGTCTCCAACGTATATTCTATCTGCGACAAAACAGAGCGCCAGGATTCAGAGGTGACCAAGTTGTGCAACTCTGTGAGACGGTTGCTACGATCTCGAAGTCCTAGATCACGTAGCACTTCACGGAAACGCACCTTGGCGCATCGCAGCAAGTCGCGTGGTAGCCCTAAAACGAAACCCAACAGGGTGGAAAACCCTGAATGGTGCTGGTTTCATAACACTTACGGGGATGAAGCCAGAAAATGTCGTAAACCATGCCGTTTTAAGAAGGACCCGAACTCGGGAAACGGTCACGCCGGCACGTGCTCACGGCAACCGTAGCCGGCGAAAAAGCCGTTTGCTCTACGTCACCGATTAAAACGAAAGTCCGCTACCTCGTCGACACCGGCGCAGAAGTTAGCATTCTTCCAGCAACGACAAAGGAGCGTCATCTTGACCCATCCTTCAATCTTCAAGCAGCCAACGGCAAGGCAATCGCGACATTCGGGAGACGGTATGCCTACCTCAACTTAGGTTTACGCAAACCTATCCACTGGATTTTCCTCCTGGCAGACGTCTCTATGCCCATCATTGGCATAGATTTGCTAAACCATTACGATCTACTCGTAGATGCTCGCCGTCGACGACTGATAGATAACAGCACAAAGTTATCCATTGGCGGCACCACCTATGTAGGTCCGAGTTTAGCCATCGTTAGGACTAAACAATCAGACGACGCGTCCTACCAGGCAGTTCTGGAGAAATATCCAGAGTTACAGCAACCGAAGCACACTCTTCCGTGCATAACCAGCAATGTTATGCATCACGTCACAACCACAGGTCCACCTGTGGCATCCAAAGCGCGCCGTCTAGCCCCCGATAAGCTCCAAACGGCGAAAAATGAATTCGACCACATGCTCGACCTGGGCATTATCAGACCGTCGAACAATCCTTGGGCATCGCCATTGCACATGGTTCCCAAAAGGATAGCAGTGACTGGCGTCCAACCGGTGATTACCGAAGGCTCAACGCCAAAACAACTCCGGACTCCTACCCGATACATCAATACAAACCCTCGTATACTTTGCCTTTTTATATCAATTTTTATTTACCATGTAATAAAAATTAAAAAAAAACGGGGAAGATAAGCGTAAATTTTTATTTTTCGATATGTTTATATATAAATAATTCCCATTTTTAGGCAACGTTTTCGTGGTATTAAAGACTTTTATTTATATTCCAGGTGCAACGAGCACTGGACGGAACGTCGAAAGGAACAGATGACCGCGACCGACGTACAATTCCATTTATTGTATTTTATTTATTTAATCGCCACGACACCCTAGAATAAGGTTCAGACAACCAGGGGCCACCTCACGCAGTCAGCCCATCGGAAGAGTTTTACCAGTGGAGAAACCACTGGGTTTTTACTTCCGGCTGGTATCGTCTTAGGGTCCTCACGAACCCACTAGGGGGGGAGTGATCTGTAGCGTCATACACTTCCCCAAAATCAATAGCCTAGGGTTTGACGACTTTCGACATCGATGCTGACCTTGATAGTTTAACTGGACTCGCTAAGCTGAAGGCACCCGGTCAAGCATCCTGGCCATTTGGCACGCTGTCGTGTTACGTTGCATTGCTCGTATTCGACTCTCTAGCCAGTTAGTTGGAACGCATCGGTATTTTGGCATAACCATCCAAATATACTATTCCATCCGACTACGCTATCGTGTTCTTCCTTGGTCTCGTATTCGTGGGTATATAACAAGTTCGAATAATTAGTGATTGGTCTTTGTGTCTGTCAAGTTCGCACCAGGACAAATCCTGAAATTCCACCCACGATAGTTACTCACTGATTGCTGGACCGAACACTGCGATAGCGTGATCACCGCTTCCAGGAGGGGTTTAAGCGTGAACGCACTCCACCAACAGATGATCACAAGTCAGCAAATAACCCAATCAGATGGTTTGCCATCTGACCCCTCAGCGGAAATCGTCACTAATCTTTTCTTACTGGACAGCCATTTAGATGACACTTAGCGCGTTACGATCAAACTCCGGGCTCGGAGTTGCGCAGTCCTGCTTCAGGTTGAGAGTTGGGATGTTAAGGTCACCAGATTTTAAGATCTGGTCATGCCTCATGGTCGACCATGTGGACATTGCTTGGAGAAATGTCTGGCTGTTCTACACTGCAACTATGCAGCCCGTAAACTGCGTCAACCAGACGCTTATTGTGACTGATCATGACGTGGCAACAGATTGAATCTGGGAGCTCCATCAATGAGGGGTTG